AGTAGAATCTCATAGTATTGGGGTGGGTGCTGTGATGAACTGCCCAGGTTCCCCTCCTGGAATGGAGAACTTAACTTGCTTCTGGGAGAGCAGCTGGAACATGGTCGTGGGTTCTTGGCCCTTTGGGGGCTACAAAAGCTGCTTTGCCCAAGGTCATGTCTTCTAGGGACTGCCTGCATCCAGTGACTCGTCAGCATGAGCTGTAAAGACCCAGCCCCTTGCCCTAACTCGGGACAATCCTGCAGGGCCGTCCAGCCCCGTGGGTGCTGAGGCTGTAAAGGGAGGGCATCACGGTTCAACTCCTCCTTTGCAGCTAAGTTGTCCTATGACTTAAGTTCTGGCAAATGATGTGAGGTGTAAATATCACATGCCAGTTTGGGGGACTCCCTCTAAGGGGCAGAGAGTGCCCTGCTTCAGTCCTTCCTTATTCCGCGCTTGAGCAGCCATCTTGGACTGAAAGGTGGAAGCCCTGTGCTGAGGGTGGTACAACCCACAAGCCGATGGGAACCTGGCTCACTGACATTGTGGTGACCAGCCCTGGGCTGACCTCCTTGGGCTTCTTCACAAGCGAAGAAAGTACCTTTTTTTTTTTTTTTTTTTTTTAAGTTTATTTATTTATTTTGAGAGAGAGAGAAAATGCAGAATCCCAAGCAGGCTCTGCACCATCAGCGCAGAGCCCGACGCGGGGCCCGAACTCACGACCCATGAGATCGTGACCTGAGCCAAAGTGGGATGCTCAACTGACTGAGCCACCCAGGCACCCCGTGAGAAAGTGACTTCTAACCTGTTTAAGCCACTCTTACTTTGTTGTTGCTATTTACCATTGAGATGAATCCTGACAGATTCATTTCATTCGTGATTAATGAACCCTCAAATGGTCTCAACGCCAACCAGTCATGGACGAGTGAGAGGCCAAAAAGAATAAAATTGTGCACTGCATCTAATGAAAACAGATACCTCCCCAAAAAAACGATTTTGCAAGGAGCCTTAGGATACTATTAAAATGTGCCTTCAGTTTTGGTGTAGAATAAAACCCATGTCTCTGCAAAAATACTCCACCATTCCCTCTCTCTCTGCCCGTCCTCTACTTGGGCTCTATCTCTCTAAAATGAATAAATGTTGAAAAAAAAAAAAATACTCCGCCATTTACATCAGCATGGAATATTGCTTAAGATCTGATTTTGCCGGTCATAGAACTAAGAGGTTCCCGTCACCGGACTTCTGCCGGGGCCTCCCACAGTGGGAAGGGCCTGGCTCTTGAGTTCCACACACCTGGGCTGCAACCTGAGCTCTTCCAGGTGTTGACTGTGTGGCCTCAGGCAAGTCACCTAACCTCTCTGAGTCTCCATTTCCTCATACAGGAAATGCAGCCGGTGTCGAGTGGGGCGAATGAAATCGTGTGCAGGAAAGTGTCTCTTGCTGGGCTTGGGCAGAGCAGGTGGGCGGGAAATCCCAGTTCCCAGGGAAGCTCCTTACCCCCACCCACACCTACCCTTCTTCTCTCTTGCTAAGGGAACCCTGATTGTGTTCAGCCCCCAGGCGGTCTAATGCTGGAAAGGAAGTGGGGCATCCTTCCCAGGCCCGGGGTGGGGGGGGGGGAGGGTTAAATCTCAATTGGTCTAAGCCAGTCTTTGTCATTCTCCTCCCTTTGCTAGTAATTGGGGTAGGGAAAGGGCTCTGCAGCGACAGTGGGGAGCCTACCTGGGATTCTCCCTCTCTCCCTCTCTCTCTGGAGACTTTTGGATGCCCCATCAAGGCCCACGGGCCTTGCAGTGCTCAACCTAGGGCCATGATGTGAGAGAGGAACAATTTCCTGCCTTGTTTAAGCAACCCTACTTTTGGAGTCTTTCCAAGACAGCAGCTTCCTGAGTACCTTATGGAGACACCCTGAGTTGTTGAGTCTCTGATCTTGGTTCTCTCCTTGGAAGGTGGTGGGGATTGGGGCGGGGTTCTGATTTGTGTGGGTGGTGGACCATGGCTGTGACGAATGTCTTCCTCTTTGGGGACCTCCCCCCACCCCAGTTCAGTCTCACCCACCACCTTGGTTCCCCCCTGCTGTGGCCCTTGGCCAGGAAAGTGGGTTCCCCTCCGCCACAGCCCAGATCACCCCTGAGTCCACGGCCGTCCCAAGCCCCGACCTCACGGCGGAATTCCCAGCATGCCTTGCACCGGGCTGGGCCACGTCAGGACTAGCAGAGGTTGAGGGATAAGTGAACCATGAAACCAGACTTCCAGGAACACACTTCTTAGTTAACTTACTCATCCTCCGCGTCTGTTAGGCACTTGGATGGAGGACGTCCCAATTTAATATTTAAACAAGAAGTTGAATTTTGATACAGGGGCGAGGGGCCTTGTTCCCCTAGCCCAGAGCTGCTGGAAAAGCTACTGTCCTTGCCTGGGCTTGGCCAGCCAGGAAGGTTCATTAGATTACCTGCCTCAGGCCCTGCTGGGCCCCTCTTGACCCCCGGTAAAGGGCTGGATCCTCATCTTCCTAGACTCCCAAACAAAAGCATCTGCAAACACACAGCCAGAAACCAACCGCAGGGTTCCTAGGATCTGATTACTGTCCCCAGGGCAGCCTTCCATGGGAGCCCGCCCCTCCCTTCCCCTTTCCGAGAACTGGAGAACTCAGTTGCCCAGCAAATGTTCAGGCTATTAAGAAGGGGGGTTAGCCCAAGGCTGTGAGCTTGGGATGGGGTTGAGCGAAGCACCAAGGGGCGGGGGGGGGGGGGGGGGGCGGGAGTCTGGTGGAGGCAGAGGAGCCCGCAGGGGGTGGGTGGGGGAGGCGGGAGCTCTGCTCTGTGGGTGTTGCCCTGGGAGGTCAGGAAGAGCCCTCTCCAAAAAAAAAGGGAAGAGCCCTCTCCAGCGTCCCCAGCCTACCTCCTCCCTGCTTGGAGCTCAGGCCTCAGGCCAGCCCAGGGCTGGGTTAGAATCTCGGTATTGCTGCCCACGTGCTAAGCCTCAGTTTCCCCAGGGAGCATTTTGGGGGAGGGGTGTAACATAGAAACATACTCCGTGCCAGGCGCCGCGATGGCCCATTTGATCGTCACAACCATGCAAGAACAGAGCACCAGGGAGGGTGGAGGAGGCTGGGGTCCTCCAGGCTGGGTGGTGAGGGTGGCATCTTCCGGCCTCACAGCCAGGGGATGAATCAGCCTTTTCCCCTTACCTCTGCCTGCCCACACCCATCCTCTCGGCCTCTTTTCTCCAGGCCGCCGCTGTTATTTCTGGCCAGCTGGATCCTGACTGGTTTATATCTGACGCATTAAGAGGCTGGGCGTGGGTCAGGCTCAGTGAGGTGCAGTCCCCCAACTGCCAGGCTGATGGATGGAGGGTCCTTTGTAGAACGCGGAAGAGGAAAAATCGCCTGTGTGCCCCCTCCGCCTTCCCCTGCCCACTTTCTCAGAGAAAGGATGCCAGGAGCATCTGAGAGTTCTCCCGTCCTTGGCCCTGCCTGGCATGATGTGAGGAGAGTCTGGGAAGCCAAGGCTGCCTCCTGGGCCCCATTTCCAGAATGGGGTCCTCTTAGGAGGTCTGTGAACATTTGGCCAGGCTGTGCTCTTGCAGAACTGGCTTCAGCTTCTCTGGCCTGGCCTGGCGGATTAGAAGGCGGCAAGGGTGGCCGAGGCCCCAACGATCTTACTGATGCACCCCTCCCCGGGGAGAGGCGACCCAGAGCTGGTCCCTCAGCTCTGCATGGACTTCTGGGAACCTCTTGAGGCACCCCCGTGCCCACCCCCGCCGAAAATTACATGGATGTGCCTCACTGGGAGCCTGAGCCCAAACCCAGCGATAGCCTTGAGAGGCTTTGACAAGTCGCTGCCCTTCAAGATCTTTGGGGACGGGCCAAGAATCCAATAGTAGTCAAAGATGCCTGGGAGCTGTGGGGCCGCGGGAAGGGCAGTCAGAGAAGGCTTCCCGGAGGGGACATCAGCCTTATGGAAAGGAACATGAAGAGTCTGTTGGTGAAGAGAGTGGCCAATAGAGACGGAGGATAGTGAAGCATATGCAGTTTAGCTGGAGTGGAGGGCCATGCTGAAGGCTGCAGAGGGAGGCAGGACCAGCGATCAGTAATGCTGGGCCCGAGTTAGGCCCACAGAGGCGCTGAGGGTGAGCAAGTGACGTCGTCTGTTCACCTCTGCGTGCTGGTACCCAGTAGGCACTCACACACGACGGCTAAATGGCTGATTAACCGATGCTTGATCCTAGGAGGGCACCTTACCTGCCTAAGTATATACAGTTATAGAATTTCCATTATTGAAGTAAAACCTGCTCGTTCTAAAAAAAAAAAAAAAATTAAAAGATAGGTGAATGATGTTGTGGTTGGAGAACTTACTTACATAGAATCCATTGTTTTCACCAAAATATCTCCTGTTCTTGAGTACCCCTAGAGCCAGGGAGCTCACTTCCTAATAAGGCTGCCCAAGAGGGTCTGCAGGCAGAATCCAGGGGTCTCTAAACACCTGCCCCTTGGCTGCCAGGGTGCAGCCTGCCGAGCCCGAGTCCCTGGCAGCATCGTGGCCCCGCAGGGGGAGTGCTTCTCCAGGCTGACCAGAATGCCCAGCTCTCAGAGACGGCTTCCTCAACACCAACCAGCTGGGGCCTCACCTGGCAGAGAGCATTTTCCTCTGGCCCAGCCCTGGGGCTCCCAGCAGGGCACCTCTGGTCTCTCCCGGGATCTTGGCCAGGTGAGGCAGGAGGGACCCCACGGGCCGGGGGCAGCATGGCCCTACTCTGGTAATGGGCTCTTGGGGGCATCTCATCTGGCCTCATTTAGGTTATGCACCGGGGGTAAAGGGTAGGAACGCAGGCTCCCCACGCCAACCCCACCCCCAGGCTGTCAGCTTATTGGCTGCTGGGTCCCTAGACTCTGCTCTCTGGGCAGGCTGAGTGACCTCAAGCTTGTCACCAACCCCCTCCGGCCCCAGATGCTTCCCCATCTGCAGGATGGGGCTAATGTGGGCTGTGTGAGCGGGTTCGTTTCATCAACCACCAAGCACTTGGTGTCAGGGCGTCACTTTTATTATATTTATTATTATCATGTGTTGATCGTGGGTGGGGGGGGGTGTTTTCCTTAAAATGCTTTTCCTGGGCCAAAAGAACTCCACGCCCCCATGCCCTGGGGTGGCCAGCTGGCACATCTCACCCTTGCAACAACTCTGGAAAGAAGAAAGAATGGGGTGGGCGGGCAGGCCTCCCCCAAAGGGCTCCCCAGGCCAGCTCTGCATGTCTCGGTGCTGCTGAGAAAGAAACCAAAGGCAGAAAAGAGCCAGGCACCTACCTGGGTTCACGAGGCTGGGTTTGCACCCCCGGCTCTCCTACAGGCTGCCTCCCCCTGCTCCTCAGGAGCTCCCCTCTCCTTCCTCTCCCCTTTTCTTGGGTTTTTCCATGCCCCCGTGGTGGGCACCTCAGCCCCCACCAGCCTGGCTTCCCTGTGATGCCCTGGAAGACGCTTTGGTGTTCACGACGGCTCTGGTGTGCCGTCCAGATGACCCAGATGTTCACCCGGCTCACTCCAGCTCATTCTTGCTGCCGCTCCCCCCTCCCCGCCCCCCGGGACCGGCTGCCTCCACCCTGAGATAGCACACTGGCCTGGGGGTGTCCCACCAGCCTCACACTGAAGGGAGTGTATCCAGGGGCCTACAGCAAGGCCTCCAAGAACACCTCCTGGGCCAACAGTTCCCCGCCCTCCCCCCAGCCTGCCCCAAATCTTGGCCTGCAGCAACTCGGGCCTCCCTCTCCCAGGCCGCACCCCCCCCCCCCCCGCCTCCCGCCCCGTCTTGCCTCCCCCGGAGAAAGGTGACCGGGTGCCCCTCTCCATCAGGATGCCTGGGTGGGGCGCGGGGTGGGGGGTGGGGGGGCCCGGCACGGCCCTCACAAGTACATCTTCATGGCCTCGTGTGTCGTGGGGCAGTAGCGGGCATGGAGCTGGGCCAGCAGTGCCCTGGACGTGGCCTTGAAGCGGGTGCCCTGGCTCTTCCTGTTCCACACGTGGACGGCGTAGGTGGCGTTGAGCAGCCGGCGCAGCTCCTGGGGGCTGATGTCCTCGAAGTACTTCTTCCAGTTCTGCCAGGGGATGGGGTAGAAGGCCTCACAGGGCAGGGCGGTGACCCCGCGGCAGGCGTGGCTGTCACCCAGGCTGCGGACGGAGCACCACTTCTTGAAGACCCGCGTGAGCAGCTGCGGGCCCTGGTGGCCCCAGATCCAGCCGTTGTAGTGGGCCACGAAGTCTCGCATGCACAGCGCCATGAACTCGTGGTGGCGCTCGAAGGCCAGGAAGGCCCCGTTGAGGACGTAGCGGGACTGAGTGCCCAGCGTGTTGGTCAGATTCCGCAGGCTCTTGAGGACGATGAAGTCCGTGTCCAGGTAGATGCCCCCGAACTTCCACATGAGCGCGATCCTGGAGGCGTCGGAGAGCACGGGCAGCAGGTAAGGCTCCCACCGGCGTCGCCTGGCCGCGTACCAGGCCGCCAGCGGCGTGTCCCGGAACAGCTCTTCCAGGTCCAGCGGGAGCACGTGGACGTTGGGGAAGCAGCCCAGAAGCGAGAGCCCCAGGTGCCGGGGCAGGGAGGCGTTCCCACCGGGCAGCCCCTTCATCAGGACCACCACCCGGGACTCGGGGTGAGCCCTGGCCGCCGACTCCACGGAGCACATGAAAAGGAAGTTGGGGTTGGTCCGGTCTGAGGTCTCCAGGAAGAAGATGTTGCCCGGAGGCGGGGTGCTGGAGATCGGCGTAGGGGGCACCAGCCGGGGGCAGGGGACGTCGGCAGGCAGGTTAGAGAACTCCCTCTGGCCGCCGGGCTCTCCCGCGATGCGCCAGTAGATCATGACGGAGACGAAAAACGTGAACTTGAAGCTGATGATAAACAGGGTGCAGACCCGCTGCCTCGGGGCTCCCCGGAGCAGCCGCAGCAGGCAGTCAGGGGGCCTGGACATGTTCTCCCCAGATGACCCCAGGAGCCTCCAGCGGGAACTGGCTGGTCTGCAAGAGACGAGCAGCACATCAGGGCAGGCTGCCACCTCCCTAAGCCCGAGAAAACGCTTCCCACAGACACCGGCCACGGCCGATGCTGGCTTCCGAAGCCCTGGGGCCCGCTGGTCGCAGAGTCCCATCTCCCTCCTCACCTGGGAAAGCTGGAAAAGGTCTGGGCAGAGTCCCTTTCGCTCTCTGTGACACACCTGTGAGCTTCCCAAGGACGCAGCCAGTGCTATCTACGACACGTGGCCATCGCGGGCCCAGGCCGGGGTTCCGGCACCCACGAGGGTTGTCAGAGGTGATGCTCCTGCACGCGGCACACGGGCCCCTTTGCCGGGTGAGGCCGGTCCCCCTCGGGCCGCTGGCAGCCTGTGATTCGAAGCCTAGCGCTTTACCCCTCAGCCCCATTCAGCTCCACAGACCGGCTGGAACTGCGCCGAGGAGGCAGACGGCCAAGCAGCCTTGGGGACTTTCTGCAGAGAAGCCTGGGGCTCCGGCGGCCTGGGCGCTGGCTGCTAAGGGGCTGGCTGGCAAGCTTGCAGGACGGGTGGGCTCCAGACACACGGGGATGCGTGCTGGGTCCTAAAGCCCTTGCCTCAGACGCAGTGGGGTCTCCTGGGCACCTGGCTTCCCCAGCCCCTGCCCTGGGCTGTGCAACTTACAGACGCAGGTCTGGAGGGAGAGGGGCGGGGAGGTTGTGCCGTAGCCCGTAACCTTACCCAGGACTATTGCCCTTGGACCCTCACCCTCTCCTGGTGATGTCCACTTGGCCAGCAGCTAAGAACATCCTGGGGGCCTGGCAGGTGGCTGGGGGAACAAAACAGGCTTGGGCTCTGTCCCCAAGGGTAGGACTATAGGAGCATCTGGGAGGCACGGGACCTGACGTGTACCTGAACCAGCTAAGACCTGGGGCAATGCACTCAGCTCAGATTTGCCACCTTCAGGACGGGAACACTGGAACCCACTAAAGGGTTGGCCGTCACCACACACGTGCCAGGTGACGTGCTCAGCACTTCACACATAGTCAACTTCTTAAACCCTCACAACCACCCTTTGCAGAGGCGATCATCGCCCCCATCTTACAGGTGAAGAAACCGAGGCACTGAGAAGTCTGGTAAGCTCACATACAGTCCCACGGTAGGCAAGTGGCAGGGCAGGGCTTGGAAGCCAGGCCATCTGGCTCCAGAGTGCGCTCTCTCACCACTGCACCATCCGGCCCGGGAGAGAACCGGCAGAGGGGACCTGGGAGTGCGCCAGGCACTTTGAGGACTCTGTGCACATTCGCCGGGGCTGTTCTCGCTTTTCGCAGGATCCTGGCCACCGTGTACTCAGTGCCTTCTAAATTCTTGGTGCCCCACGCACACCCCCTCTGGCTCTCAGTGACCCCAGGGGTAGTTGTATCATTTCTCCTTCAGCGGCCAGGAAACTTGGACACAGAGGGGCGGGGGGACTGGGTGCGGCCCGCAGGCTAAGGGGAGCTGGAGTCACCCCTTCCCCAGGACAGACGGATCTCCTGGCCTGAGAGCGAGACTGAGCAACTGGCCGGCCCTCCTGGTGGAGGGCCGGGAACCGCGATGACGTCACTGGCTGGTAACTGACCAGCCTGGGCGGCCCATGGCGGCGAGGTGGGGATCTGGGCAGCCGGGCAGCCCTCCTGGAGACACGCCCTGGCTCAGCAGCCAACCTTCTCTGCCAACAGGAACACGGCCCTTCCACAAGCTCTCCGCGTCCACAAATCCATCTGTAAGACACAGCGAGACACAGAGTGAGGGGGGTGGCGGGCTCACGGAGTCAGCCCCCAGCCGCACAGGGGGGATGTTCATTGATTTGTTGACTGTCTCGGCCCCACAGGGAATGTACTTGGGAGAAAGGGAGAGCTGGGTGCGGCTCTGCCCTGGAGGAGCTCTCAGCGTGTGGGGGGACCATCTGGAAATGCACTAGTCACAGTTGAAATGGAGCAAAGGGCCCAGCGGGGCCAGGGAAGGTGGCTTCTGGAGAGGTCACACTGATGGAGGGGCCTTAGCCAGATGGGCCTCCATACCGCCAAGGGCGCCTGCACACCTGCCCTCCCCAGAGCCCAGCTCAGTCCTTGGCGCATAGTAGGGACACACAACCTGACTCATCCTCTCGTGGACCCGCTCACTCACTGACTCACTCCCCTGGCTGCCAGAGGGACACTTCAAAAACACAAGCCAGGTCACGTCATTCCTCTGTTCAGGCCCTCAGTGATGTGGGAGGCCCCGGTCGCCCAGGTGCCCCCATCCCTGACCTCACACCCCGCTTGCCCTACCCCAGCCACGCCTGGCCTCCTCACGCCTTCTCAACCCCACCGCCCACCCCCGTGCTGCCATCTCAGGGCCTGCACACTTGCTGTTCCCTCGGCTTGGAATGCTCTTCCCATGGTGTTTACCTGGCTCGTTCCCTCACCTCCCTCTCGTCCTCAAAAATCATGCCTCCCCAGCCCTTCCATAGTCCCCTGTGGAGCTCGCGGCACCTAATCGAGCATCCTGGACGTTTGGTACTTGTTTGTTTGGGTTACTTATTTGGAGCATAACCCCACGAGGGAGGACAGGTAATTTTTGCCTTTTGTTCAGCATCTAGAAGAGATGACTCTTGGAAGGTAGTTAACAAATACCAAGGGAGTGAGTGACTCAGCGGGTGGGCGAATGAAGGTGGGAGCGAGTGAGTGGAGGAGCAGATCAGTGAATGATCAGCGAGTGAATGAACGAATGAGTGAATGAATGAGTGAATAAGTCAGTGAGCCAGCAAATCAGCACGTGACCGAATAAAGCAGTTGAGCGCCTGTGTGAGGGACCTGGGGGTCGGCGGCTGGGTCAGGAGTGGCAGGGCCAATATACATCAAGAACCTTGTGTTCCCCCGCCCTGGTTTTCGCCTGCGAGGCGAGGCTATTTTGGTCTTGAGTATTTTTAACCCAGTGTGAACCACACCGAGCAGGGGACAGACAGTTGGATCGAGCAAGGTCCTGGCTGCTCAGGGGTCCCGAGGCGTTGGGGTGATCTGGGCCTTCTGTGGGGTGGGGTGGGGTCTGGGCCTGTTGGGGAGATGGGATTTGCCACCTGAGCCCGCACCGACCGCAGGGGACAGTACCGGCCCCGAGCAACACCGTATTTGGTGCTCGAGCCCAAGACCCAGGAATAGAAACGACGCGCGGGGCCAAGTTGGCCACAGCCAAATACCCGTGTGACCTCAGGCCCGAAGCATGCTCCTGGCCCCCCTGGATGGGCCTCGCAGCTGTGGCTCAAGTCCTGACCCTTGTCAGTGGAGCCTGGCACACTGCTCCTCCTCCTGCCTCCCTGCCTAACGCTTTCAGCCCTGCACCGGGGAGAGATTTCCAGTTAGCTGGTCAACCGTGGCCACTTCCCTGCCCTGAGCTCTTCTGTGGCTCCCCATCCTCAGGGACCCTCCCAGCCCCCCATGATCCATCTCAGGCAGGACGTGAGGGCGAGAAGCACACAGCCGGCAGGCCAAAGGGCCAAAGGCCTGACCGCTCCCTGTGGGTTTGGCCCTTGCATTAGTTTTGGGGGCCCCACGTCAGGAGCGTCAGCATCAGGGACCAGCCCAGGGCCTTGGAATGGCCCCACTACCTGAAGGTTGTCCTTCATTCACGGCCCACAGTAGGGGCATCTCCCTCTGTCCTTCCCTCGGCTTCCAGGTCCAGCCCAGCTCAGCCCACTGCTGGCTCACCACGACCCAGACAGAACAGGGTCGCGGCAATGGTCAGACACAGTCCACACTTCCTGAACGACTTACTACCAGGATAGGTGCTCACTGTCCCTGGGGTTCCAGAGCTAGGCCCTTGGAGAGTCTGATATCCCAAGGGGGACACAGAGGCCCAGAGACGGTAAGGGATTTGGCCAGGGTCTCGCAGCAGCAGAGAGTGGAACTGGCACCCTCAGGGAGCTCTTCCTACCCCTCTGCAAGAAACGTCCCCTCCCCGGGCCTTCCTCGAGCTGCTGCAGGAGGCCGAGAGCCCAGCAGAAGTCTCAAACCACAAAACCAAGGAGATGTGCGAGACTCTGATCAGCATCCTGTATCGGCTTCCTGTGGCTGCGGAAACTGACGACCACAGCTCTGAGGCTGAACGCAGACGCGTATCTACTCTCAGCTCTGCAGAGTGGAGGTCTAAATCCAAGGTGTCAGCGGGACCACGCCCCTTCTCGGGCTCCGGGGGAGAACCGTTCCTTGCTTCTCCCAGTTTCTGGTGGCTCCCGGCATTCCTGGGCTTGTGGCCGCTTCCTCCAATCTCCGCCTCTGTCTTCACGCGGTCTTCCCCTCTGTCTCTTGCAAGGACACTTGTCATTGTACTTATGGCCCACCTCACTAACACGGGATCATTTCCTTAACTCGAGATCCTTAACTTAGTAACGCCTGCAAAGACCCTTTTCCCAAAGGAGGTCACATTCACGTGTCGCAGGGTTAGGACGTGACAATCTTCTCTGAGGCCACTATTCATCCCACGACACCTCCTTTCTGTGTCTCTCTGTCCTGGAGACTCAGAGCCCCTCTCAGGTCACACACTGCCTGGAACATCCCTGAAACGGCAGCTCCGTGGAGAATGTGCCTGGGGGGGGCTCTCTGCGTGGCAGGACAGCACTGGGGAGTCCCAGTGGACATGGGGTGGCAGGCTTTGCCTGCCCAGCATCCGTCCCCCCTCTGCTGATAAGAATATCCTGATTGCCTTTGAGGGACCACCTCTGCCCCACAGACCCCACTCTCTAGCTCTTGGGGGCGGCACACATTCAGATCTGCCTAATGACTGTCACGTTCTCCAGCCACAGTGAGTAGCTGGGGGCAGGGCATGTAACCCAGTGCGGGCCAAGCAGAGTCAGGAGCTTTCCAGTGGGGTCTCTAAGATGAGGCCCGAGCCGGAGGGGAGAGCCTGGCTGAGGCTGAAGCCGGCCCAGAGGCAACAGAGCCAAGAGACGGAGAGAGAGAGGCACGATGACATCATCTTTACATCTGGATCCCGCTGTGTTTGAAACTGGTACATCCTGCACTTTCCACAGACACAGAGACGGGGTGGGGGGGACGTGGGAAGAGTCTGCCAAATTGAAAGCAGGGACACTTCTGGAGACAGGACAGGATCAGGAACGAACTCAGACCCTCTTTGATGGGAAAAATCAATACTAGAGCTTGGAAACCCTGCTTGAAGGGTCCGCTGTCCTGTCCCTGCACACCCCCTCCCATCTTTCAGGGCATAAATAAATTCTTCTCTTTTTAAAAACTTTTTAAATGTTTATTTATTTTTGAGAGAGACAGAGAGACAGAGCACACACGTGCATGGGGGAGGGGCAGAGAGAGAGGGAGACACAGAATCCGAACCAGGCTCCAGGCTCCAGGCTCCGAGCTGTCAGCACCGAGCCCGACGCGGGGCTCGAACTCACAAACCACAAGATCATGACCGGAGCCGAAGTCAGAAGCTCAACCAACTGAGCCACCCGGGTGCCCCAGTAAATGAATATTTCTACTGAAGGAGTAGGAGTTGCAGTTATTAGAAAGTGATCCTCGTAAAAATGGCTGTTTTCAGAATGGAGGTTATAAAATGTTCCTCCTCCAGAGCCTATAAGATGTTCTAAAGCCAGGGAGGTAGGGAGGTAGAGACTTCTTTTTCCAATAGGAATATGGCAGATTCTTGATTCTGGATCTTTCCCCCCTGCTGATGTCATACAGAGCAACACAGGAAAGAGAAAATAAGCCACAAGCTACAGCCTTAGCAAAACCGGGGCATGAAAAACCCGTAAACTCCAACTCACAAAGCTGGACCCGAGTCCAGCAGATACAGTGGTGAGGTGGGGAGGAACGGGTGGGGGGGGGGTGGAAGTGGAAGATCGTAGAGATCGCCACTTCTAAAAGGAAGACGTGTAAGTCAGAAGACAGATGTAGCCTGGATGAACCAGGAGAGTTCAAGGATGCAGGCAGGTGTCCCCTTGAACCCGGTTGGGTTCTGTGAGGCAAAAGAGCACTGGGTCCTGAGAAGGGTTGTATTCTAAAGGAACAACCCATTTCCATAAAAGCAGAGGAGGGAGTCTTTCAACAGAGAAACTTAGAGAACTTGCCTGGCCTGTCTCCCAATTTCTACCAAAACCTCCTGTTAAATGCTGATCCAGGAAAATTCAACCGATTTGAATATAAAAAACAATGGTGAAAGGAATAAACACAGTGTCCATATACGGAAGCTACAAGAATGAAAAGGGGAAGGAACACTAATGTTCTCCTATGTAGAGAAACTATTCACTATAGTTTAAGCATTCACTATAGTTGGGGGCGCCTCGTCGGCTTAGTCGGTTAAGTGGCCAACTTCAGCTCAGGTCATGGTCTCAGTTTGTGAGTTCGAGCCCTGCGTCAGGCTCTGGGCTGACAGCTCGGAGCCTGGAGTCTGCTTCGGATTCTGTGTCTACCTCTCTCTCTGCCTCTCCCCCACTAGCACTCTGTCTCTCTCTTTCTCAAAAATAAATAAACTTTAAAAAGAAATTCACTATAGTTAAGAAAATTCATTACAGTTAAGAAAATTCACTGTGAAAATATCACCACATGGGGCACCTGGGTGGCTCAGTCAGTTGATGATGA